TGTGTGTGTGTGTGTGTGTGTGTGTGTGTGTGTGTGTTTGTGTGGTAGTCACTTGGTTTGTGAGCAGTGAATCTCATCTGAGCTCTCTAAAATTCTGCTCCTTCCCAGTCTGACAGGAAGTGGCTCAGTCACTGTGGAGTCGGTCCAGAGACACAGCAGCAATCGCCATGGGAACAGTGACGATGGACAGATGAACTTTTCTCTAATGGCCATTGATCTGCCAGCTCTGAGACTCCACCTCTCCAGCGTCATCGCCAGCAACAAGGAGCGATGGAAGGAGCTGTCTGTGCATGGTAGAAGCAGTTTAATTTCAACTAAGAGTTAAAGTTGTGTTTTTTGTATACTTCAGTATTTATTTCTGTCCTCCATTTTCTGTGATCAGTGAAAGAAAAGTGATAGAAGAGTTTAATATTAGGACCCCTATAATCCAAGCTTGTACAGTGACACAGTTGGCTTTAAATCTTTAGATAAAAATAAAAAAGCTCAAGATGAAGCATTTTAGTTTTAGACGTTTATTACTAGAATCTTTACATTTTGTATATTTTTATCAATTGAACAAAATGTTGAATTTAAGACAAGTAATGACATATTTGTATCCCACTAATTACAAGAGAATGGCTGACAACTTTTCTTGGTATCTGATATGAATTATTTTGTATCTTTATTATTTGAAATATAAAAGTGTCTTCCTGCTCCCACCAGAACTGGCCAAGAAGGAACARGAGGAAAAACAGAACTCAGAGGTCAAGTCTGAGGTCTCACCAAGCCACAGCTCAGATCAGCCCCAGAACTYGGAGGATTCCCCTTCAACTGAACAGAATGATGATGCATCACCTGACCACAGGCCTGCACATCACATGACCTGCAACGGTACGAGCATGACACCCCGTTAAAAGTTTGAAACTCTCTGAATGAGCTTACCTGTTGCTGTGGTAACCCTTGCAGGAGCAGAGGAAGAAGATGAAAAAGTGCCTGAAAATGCCTGAAGACACACTTCGGTTAAAGTCCTCGCTGTGTCTGACTGTGGCAGATCACCATGACAACAGGTGGCTGGGCGCAGTAACAGCAAGGGCTCAGACTCTTCTGTGTGCAGCTGAGTCAGTGGCCCTCAAAGGGCCCCAAGACTTCATGTTTACAAGTGACTATKGAAACATATTGAAATAAACTAGTTTTCATTTGATTCCAGTTTTTTAGCAGCTTCCCGGTTCAGTCATTGTGGTGAAAGTGTGATGTATTTGAAAACTCAGAGGAACACTGTCTGTAAAACCAAAGAGTGTTTAAAGGCTGAAGAATCACAACGGGCTAAATGTCTTTCAACAATCAGGGAAGCTGGTAAGAAAATGGAGTAGAGGTTCAGTGAAGGCAGCTCATGAGTATGAGGAGGACGTGCTGCTCTGCTCTTTGTTTCAGCTTCAAACTTCACAGACATGTTGTTCATATGTGATGTCAGAGCTGTCAGACCAACAGGATGCTGGAGCAGGTGGATGCAGAAAGTTTGCTTAATCATATTAACTGAARCCAATTCCAGCTGCAGCCCATTGAGTAGGTTTGCAACAGAAAATTTAGGCCAATTTTCAGTTTGTTTTACTAAGAAGACAATTCTGAAGAAATATGAGGTCGCCAATGCAGCTACAGCCCAAAAATCTAACAAATGTTTCCTTTTTTAATTAAAAMACAATATAAACTGTAGAAGTGCAAAAAGTGGCAGGACTTAGTGGCAGGATGGACCCAAATGCAGGCAGGTAGGCAGACTTAAAAATTTAACAAAAACTTTTATTAAATTAAAGGCCAGCGTGGTGGCAAAAACAGAAAACTTACAAGTGAGCAGGAACAGAAAAGCCTGGGCAGAACATGAACCAAACAGAGACAAACAATGAACGGATGAAGGTGRAGAGCATGAGAACCAGTATAAGTAGTCAGAGGCTAAGTGGAGAGTGGAGACAGTTGTGATGATTAGGAGTGAAGACAGGTGAGCAGAATGATCTAGAAGGGCTGAATAATCTGAGGATGAGATGACAAGGCATGAAAGGAACACTAGATGGAAGCACAAGACAAGAACAGAAAACACACAAAACACCAAATCCTCACAAAAAGAGCTAACATCACAARGACAGGTAAACCTGCCAGTGGCTGTTTAGAGTCACTATGGTAACAACACACCTGTGTCTCACTCTGACAGCACTCTTGACAAACAAGCAGTGGAAAATGAAAGCCTCAGTCACTGTGTGAAAACACAAGTCAAACTGAAAATAATTCTGAGCTGTAAGAGACAGATGTATCTGGTCTTCACACTTCAATTTTTTATGTGTTTACATTGTTTGTGTAGGAGATACATTTGACAAGTTCAAATGACTCCACTTCCACTTGAGCTCTTACAATGGAAGTGAATGAGTTTGGATGCATGGACACACTGCTCTGGGTGTAAGATAACAAAAATGTTGTGTAATCATGTGTAAGTTAAAAGTGTTCTCAAAGGTCTTAAAAGTTTYACAAGTACTCATACTCATACAAAAATATCTTAACATTCAGGAGTGATTTTGATAGTATCACTACCAGAAAGCTAGTATTGATACTCAATTGAATATGTTACAGATTATATTTCACGTGAAAAGTTTGTCAGTTCTCTTTTTAGACATTTGTACAAGTTGGAAAAAAATAATTTGTTACTTTATTTTAAAATGTTGCCATAATATATAGATGTGAATAAAGTGTGCCTCCTTCTTAATTTCTCATTTTTACATATTTATCACACTTTAATGTTTCAGATCATCAAACAAGTTTAAATTTGAGACAAAGATAACCCAAGTAAACACAAAATACAATTTTTAAATAAAGGTCTTTATTATTAAAGGTAAAAGAAATACAAACATGCAGGACCCTGAGTGAAAATGCCCCCTAAACCTAATAATAGTTTGGGCCACTCTTAGCAGCAACTACTGCAATCAAACCTTTGGAATAACTGCCAATGTGTGTTTTACAGCACTGTGGAGAAATCCTGGTCCACTCATCTTTGCAGAATTGTTGTAACTCACATTTCTGAGCATGAATGGCCTTTTTAACATCATGCCCCAGCATCTCAAATGGATTTAGGTCATGACTTTGATTAGGTCACTCCGAAGTCTTAAACTAGATTATCTTAATCCATTCAGAGGTGGACTTGCTGGTGTGTTTTGGATAATCATCCTGCTGCAGAACCCAAGTGTGCTTCAGCTTGAGGTCACAAACAGATGGCCAGATATTCTCCTTCTGAATTTTCTTTGAAGACAGCAGAATTTATGGTTCCATTCACCACAGCAGGTCTTCCAGGACTCAAGCTGCAAAACAGCCCCAGACCATCAAACTACAACCACCATATTTTACTGTTGGTATGATGTTCCTTTTCTGAAATGCTCTGTTACTTCTATACCACATGAAATGTGACTTACGTTGTCCAAAAGGTTAAACTTTTGTCTCATCAGCTCTCAAAGTATTCTTTCAAACATCTTGGGGATAATCAAGATATTTTCTGGCTAAAAGACGAGTATTTTTTTGCTCTGAAGTGTTTTTTTCTTGGAACTCTGCCATCCATTCTTGTCTTGTAACTTTTTTATGGTGGAGACATGAGCACTGACTTTAACTGAGGCCAGTGAGGCCTGCAGATCTTTGGACGTTGTTGTGGGGTCTTTTGTGACCTCTTGGATTAGTCGTTGCTGCGCTCTTGGGGTAATTTTGGATGGTCGGTCACTCCTGAGAAGTCCCAAAGCTTTAGAATTTTTTTTGGTTTAACCTTTTCCAGACTGATAGATCTATACTTTGTTTTTCATTTGTTCTTGAGTTTCCTTGGATTTGAGTATGATTCTAGCTTTTCAGGATTTTTTGTCTACTTTACTTGGTCAGGCAGGCCCTATTTAAGTGGATTCTTAACTGAGAACAGGTGTGGCAGTAATCAGGCCTGAGTGTGGCCAGGAAAATTATACTCAGCATTCCAAAAATGTGATAAACCACAGGGGAGCATTTCATTTTTCACACAGGGCCCTGTAGGTTTAGATTTGTTTTTCCCTCAATAATAAAGACATTCATTTATGAATTGCATTTTATATTTACTTATGTTATCTTGATCTGATATTTAAATTTGTTTGGTGATCTGAAACATTTGTGACATAAAAAATAAGAACTCAGGAAGGGGGAAAACTCTTTCACACCACTGTATATCATGCTGTATATTTGATACAGTCAGAGAAGCTCTAGGACTGTAAGGAAGGAGAGCCACCTTCTTCAATCAATCAATCAATCAATCAATCAATCAATAAATAAATAAATGTGTTTGTCATTGTGTAATGTTTAGGTTCAAACTCAGTCTGTACTCTGTATCACGAGTACTCAAACTGAAGTACTTGTACTCAGTTTGAGAAAAACTGATATCAGGACACCCCTAACTGAAACAATGATTAGTTGTTTGAACATGCAAGGAGCAGAGCAGCATCAGTAAATCAGTGTGGATTTCATTATGTGACCAATTCACTGACAGTTTTTTTTTACAGTGAAGGTTGTTTTTTTGTACTTTAGTACTATATATCTATAACATAGYGTAACATGGTACTATCTGACATTATTGTCTAAACTGTGGCAGTGAGATCRTCTATTAGAGACAGAAAATACCAGCTCTGTGGAGGTCCAGTCTGAAAAGAACCAGATTATTTCTTTAAATCAACGGGAGCTTAGAGTTCAGGTAGTTCCTGCTCTCTGTTGTTTTACTCATATTTCCTGAATGAATAAAGACATGACCGCCACAGTATCACTATGGTGATGATGGCAATTTAAGCTTTTATAGCAATGGGTAAAGAGCCAAAGGGTGGTGTTGAAACTGCTGACAGTGAAAACTCTTTAGATTCTCTGAGCACTGTGTTTGTTAATGCAATGTATGCTATAGTTGTTGTGTACTCTTCAGCTCTGTGTCCCACTGTATGTGTCTGTGTGAGGGAGAGACCRAGTGTGTGTGCATTTTTGCGCACTGTGTGATGTACAGCTGTTTATTGTAATAAATGTTCTGAACTTGGGTATTTTGCTGTGATTAATTTAATCAAAGCTCTTTTCTTGCATTTGACTGTTCCAATGACCCTTTGGTTACATGTATCTGACATCCAAAATGCCTTTTAAATTTGTCAAGGTCATAAAGAAGTTGCCAAATTTTGGAATATTTTTTTGCCCTAAAGCAATTTAAATAAGTTTTCTGACCATGTCTATTTACCCTGAAATCTACCATCCTATCCTTGCTTTAGACTGTTGATAATTCTGCACAATTAAATTATGTTTTGGTCTGTATCAGGTTGGACCCATCCATCACCCCACCACCCCAGCAGGGAGGCCCATACTTCTCTTTCCACAGTGATYTCCTCTAGCTCTTCTGGGGGGATTCCAAGGCATTCCCATGCCAGTTAAGAATGATAGTATCATAGTATCTCCAGCATGTCTTGAGTATTCTCCAAGGCTCCTCCCAGTCAGACATGTATGAAGCATCCCCCTAAGGAAGCATGCAGGAGGCGTTCTTACCTGATGCCCAAACGACATCAACTGGCTCCTWTTAATGTGGAGGAGCAGCGACTCCTCTAAGTCTCTCCTGGACAAAAAAAAAACTTCCCCTATCTCCAAGGGAGAGTCCAGCTGCCCTGTGAAGAATAATTTCAATTACCTGTATCTGTGATCTTGTTCTTTCTTAAATTTGTGCTTTTGATTCTTCAACTGTTATCTGTGTCTTTATTGTGGTATATTAACATTTAATGAAGATTTTATTTGTTTCATTACTATGTTTTTTTTACTTCTGTCCTGTGGTTTCTCTGTATTCTGGTGTATTTTACTTCCTGTTTTATTTTGTGAAGCTTCAGTTATTTTTAGTGAATGCACTTCAGATATACTGTAACATTTATTTCTTCTTAGACCTACTGGCTTATATTGATTGGTGCCATTTTTACTTGCACCATCATCTGCCTACTTTTTGGATATGTTTTTATATTTTGGATTTCTTCTATTTACCATGTGCTGAGGTATTAATCAGCATTAGAGCTTTATAACATACTATATTTCAGGCCCTCCATCTTTAGTGTCTTTTTAACTCTGTAAAATTGTAGGAAGCTGAACATGTACAAGAATGAAAAATCAYAAGTGAAGTGTTAATTACTTGTGATTCCATGAGGTCCAGCCCTA